TCCATCCCCAACACTGCATGCCGTGCCAGCCACAGAAACCAGTCGTGGTGGTACATGCCTATAATCCCAGCACTGGGAGGCTAAGCCTGGAGGATCACTATGAGTTCCCACTGCATAGTGAGATTCTGTACCAAATAAATAAAAGATTTTTACAATTCATCTAAAAAGGGGGAAAAAATAGCAGCAAGACTATTCTTTTCTAAACCTCAGGCTATGCAACCCAAGGCATACTAAACTGAAACTGACAGCAACAAAAGAAACGGTATCTTCCACCATAAATTGTCAACTATGACAAGGCTAGACAGGTCTTCCCTATCAACAAAGTTATGACAGTTTTATGAAACTCGACCTCCCAAGGAGAAAGTATCATTTTCTTTTCATCTTTGCATTTTCAGCATTTTGCACAAGTCTTTGCACGTAAATCACTGATAAATATTTGCTGAATGAAACTGGTAATGCTGAGCAGCCCCTCCCCTATGGTACTCCATACATGCACATATATGCATGTGCGCACATGTGCACGCGCGCGCGCACACACACACACACACACACACACACACAGAAACTCTGTGTGGAAACCTTCCCATCCATATTTTGTACGAGCTAAAGCTAAAGTAAGAAAATGACCAATTCAGCCCATTTGCCTCTGTGGTTGATTATCCCGTCTGTTTAGAACTGAGCAGGATTCAGATGATTACACTGAAAAGACCAGGTGACACCCATTCCCAGTACCATTTACTTGGAGGCTTTGTGATGGAAAGTAGGTGGTTAATTCCTGGCAATGGGGGAAATATGTGGACCAAGGACAAATGAAGGGCATGCACAGCCCCTCCTGGCCTAACCCCATGTTAGGTTTCCAGATACCAAAGAACCTGTATCTGTAGTATCTGTAGAAGACTAAAGAGAGCACAGTGTGAAGGCACAGGCACTCCCAGGAATACTGTACCCTGGGACCAGCCACAGGCACAAAGTTCTGACTGAGGACCCCAGCAGTGCTACAGTCCTAGACAGTCATGGGCACACCACCATGATAAAGAAGCATATCACAGAAGAACTCAAGAGAACTGGGCCCACACAGTCGGTCCCAGGGACACCCTGCAGTAAGAAAGGTAGGGTCTCTGGTTAAAATGATAATGCCACAAGCTGGAGTGGTGATGCATGCCTGTAATCCCAGCACTTGGGAAGTTGAGGCAGGAAGACGTTGCAAGTTGGACTGAGTTCAAGGCCAGTCTGAACCACATAGTGATTAATAATTAAAATATTAAAAACCTAAATAAATAAACACATTTTAAGAAAAACAATAGCGTGACAGTGCTTGGGACACGCCTATGACTTCAGCTTTTTCCCTAACCATCTGAAAAAGTACTTTCTTTGTCTCACCACAAATGTAACTAGAGATGGGCAAGTTCCAGTATAAGCAGCCAGCCTTGATCCCGAAGGAGGACCTGAGCAGGAACAACTCCCCTTCCATCTTTTCTTCCCTCCTCTCCTGAAACACACCTTTACCCTCAAAGGATCACTGCGCTGCTCAGCATAAGGGGGCTGGTCTATCCTTGCATCTGTGAATGAATGCACTGCTTTTGATTTCCTACCATCATGCCTCCACCTCTGGTTTCCTATCTCTCCCCAGGAAAAGAAAATTTTGCCTATAAGCTTTTAGGCTCAGCCAGAAAATAGCATTAACTACCAACTGGAAGTTCTTCAGGCTCTTTGGGGTCTGCCTGAGGGATGAAAGTATCTGTTCTCCACTCTTCACTAAGGGACATACAAGGTGGGGCTATTAGGACAGGTCAGCAGGCCCCGCTAAGACAGCCTTTGGGTCAGGAACCAGGAACAGGAAGCCAGGAGCTCTGCGCCTGCTCCATGGCGCTCTCCTCCTCACTAGCTCACTGTCAAACACTTGCCTCTGTCCCTCAGCATTCCTAGAACTTTCGCTCTCCTCTGAGGTCAGCCACATATTTAAAGTGCTTGTTTTTATCCTGTTCCCATCAGTGAGATTGAGTTTAACGGAAGATCTACCTCAGGGAAATTCCACTCACTTTTCTTCTGGGAAATGAGCTGCTTTATTTTCCAAACCCAAATCCTGAACCTGACATTTCTGGTAAAGTTTAAAGGTCCGTGATTTCATCGAAACAAAGCCACACGCATCTCAGGCAACCTCACGTTTATACAAGGGGTTCTCTTAACTTTTTAATAAAGTCTTGACAATTTGAAGTTTCATGTTTCAAACTGTAAATCCTCTAAAGCAGGGAAAGTAAGAAAGCATGAGTCACAGACTCAATGTACTTAAGCCAAGGAAGGAACTCTAATTGATATTATGCTACTCCCACTTTTCTAATCCATGAATAAGCCCTGTTGATTTGCTGTTCGGAATCAGTGAACTTGAGCAGCCCCACAGCGTCCTCTGGTGGCCATGAGCACAGACACAGGGAGCTTCCACAGATGAGGCTAGATCTAGTCTCCAAAACAAGGTAGAAATGTGTGGTCAAGATGAAACCCTTTCTCCCCTACTCAAAAAAAGTATGAAATGTTAATGGAAGTTAGAAAGTCAACCCACACAAATATAGTAAGGAGCAAGAGTAGGAGACAGAATAGCTACTGTTTTAATACACTGTCATGGAAAGGAATGACCAAATAGAATATTATTATTTCTCTAACCTGACACGTGATTAATTCTTTTGCACATGTAACATCATTATTAACTAATCAGATATCTCCTGAACACCAATAATAATCCCACAATAATCATTGAGCCATGACAGGTAGACAAACTGATGTAGATACATGCTTGTTTTCCTGTGTATCAATACAATTTTTATACATTGGAAATTCAATACAGAAACACATTTGCACTCAAAGAGCTCCTATTTTAGTGTGTGTGTGTGTGTGTGGGGAATACTATAAACCATTCAACAAAAAAAAGTTACAGAAAAGAAAGCGATGAAGAAATTCAAGGGCTGAAATTCAGGGTTAGCACACTTGTCTAGCATGAGCAAGCCCTGGGTTGCACTGCCAGCACTGAAGGAAAAGAAGAGGGGACAAGGAAGGGGGACAGGAGGAGGAGAGGACACAGCAGGAAGAGGAGGAAAAGGGAGAAATTCAAGCAGGCACATGGATACAAAGTGATGGAGCAGAGACTATGGAGGGTATTTAGGAAAGGATACTCATGGAAACCTCTCAAAGGGTGCCACATCTTGAATGTATATCCCAAATTTCATGTGCTGGAAACTTAGTCCCAAAGACATATGGCAATGATCTAAGTATCTGTGGACTCGGCTTGGAGAGGTGGGAACTCCAGGTGACTGGGGCATAGTCATGAGGGCTCCACCCTCTTGAGGGATTGATCCATCTGTGGCTTAGTGGATTAGTAAATTATCAAGGGAGTGGCCTTGAATAGAAGCAAGCTCTCAGTACACTCGCTGTGCCCCTCGCTGTGCACGCGATGCCATCTCTCGTGTCATAATCCAGCACATTTGCTTCCCACAGATCTGAGCAGATGCCGGCACCAGGCTCTTGGATACCCAGAACCACAAGTTGAGTAAGATTCTATTCTCTATTAATTACCCAGTCTTCCGTGTCCAGTTTTAGCAACAGAAAATGGGCTGAGACAAAGGTGGTGGCATTTGAACAGATACTTCAATGATCACGAAGAAGTCACACAGAAAAAGTATCCCAGAAAGGATTAAGAGCAACTCCAGCTTCAAAGAACTCACTGGTGAGCTCTAGCTGGTGTCGACACACTGTCATGCTCATTTGAAAAAGAGCACTCTGGTCACCGAGCCATCTTCTTATGACCTTCTTGGTCATATGGTGCAGATGCAGCCTGCGGTCTAAAGCTGGAGGGTGACAGGAGTGAAAGCAGGAAATGGAAAGCAACTTCGGGAACATAAAAAGGCTGCTCCTGTTTCCATCAAACTGGTAGTGGCAAAGGCAAAGGTAAAGGTAAGGAGTTGAATTCAGGAGAGATTCTGAACAGTGAATCAACAGGGCTTATTCACGGATTAGAAATGTACGAGTAGGACAATATCAATTAGGGCTCCTTCCTTGGCTTAAGCAGTGAGTTGGGTGAATGCCAGTAACAGTGGAGGTTGAATGGGGGCCCTTTCCATAAAGGAAAATGCCTCCACAGAGAAATGACTCAGGAGAAACAGGAAGTAAGGGTGCCAAGCCTACAGGACAGACACTTCTTTCAAGGAGGCTTAATATCAAGGGAGGCAAAGCGAAGGCAAAGTAGCTGGAGGGCAATATGGGCTCCAAGAAAATGTGTTGATTCTTTCATTCTTTTCGTTAACGAGGGAGCGCTGCCACATGCTCCATGGTGCCAGGAGTAATTCTGTGTATGGGGAAAGTGATGATTAGGCAGGAAGGGAGAGGATCCAAGGCACAAGCTCAGGGCACAGCAGCTGGAGGTAGAAGCGGGGATAGGAGAGGAGGATGCAGGCAGGAATGAAAATTAGGAGTGGAAGGTCCTCATTTCTAATGTCTCCATGAAACAAGAAGTGATAAAGCAATCCACAGGATGGTCACAGATTTGAACCAATGTACAGGGCTCACAGATTTGCAGAGAAAGAACATCAGTGGAAAGTGGAATTTACTAGGGGTCTAGAGCACAATTGCCAACTGTTTTCCCGTTAGTCACTTACTCATTAGGCACTTGCACGAGAGTGTCAACTAAACCTGCAACTCTAAAACAGCTACTAAACATCTGTTTTAAGTTTGAAATATTTTTAGTGCTTCAAACATCCAGAAGGAATTTAACCAACAATCATGTATACACTACACAGATTTAATTAATGTTAATCTTTTGTTTTGGATTATTTTCTTGAGAAACCGAAAATTACGGTCACAGTGACAAGCCCCTGAGCACCTCTCGCCAGTTCCACGTTCTCCCTCGGCTCTTCCTCCAAGTTCATGGTATAATGACAGAAAGCAACAGTGCTCCTCTTGATCCAGGCCTATGTGCAGCATGGTGGCGACCTGACTCATCCAAGTGCTGTTACTTGAGATTTACCTGTTATCTGGGTTGTCAGGGAGATGACCACAGGAAGTTCTGAAGACAAAGACCGGAGGCTGACATTGTAGTGGGTGCCTGGGTGCAGGTCCAAACACATCTCAGGAGACTGGCTGCTGGTGGTGGTATTAAATATCATTTCCTGGGCATATCCCTGCTGATACCATCTCTGGCCCCAAATGTGAAACTGAAACATACGAAAGCTCACATGGTCCACTGCTGGCTTGAAAAGCCTCTGCATGCCTCCATACTATTCCTTTCTGCATGAGTTTTCAACCCCACCCTTCTTCGCCCCCAAGAAGTTTTTTCAAAAAGTACAATGAAATGGTACATATACACTGTGATAATGATATTATAAGCTAATAAGTATAGTTTTTAATAAAAATGCCCAATGAGGTGCCAATACTAGCAACTTGCAGCTTCCTGTTCTCACTATACAGTGCACATCCCCAAGGCAGAAACCAGGTGCTAAAGTGGCAGGAACTAAGATAAAGAATATGCTCTGAGAAAGAAAATGAAGGCTCTGATCTTGGGGCAAAGGGGCTGACGGAGGATGGTGGCTAAGGGGTGCTATGTGCCTATAGAAATCTTCCAACATGAATTCTATCATTAATATTATGAATGATTATTATTAATCTGTGTCATTAGTTAATCTGTATAATCAAGCTACATAAAATGCGTGGTGGGGAGGGCTCTGAACTAAGCATGAGCGGAATTAAGACACTTCTCCACCTGGGCTTTTCTCTTCTTTCTTTCCCTTCCATTTAGTTATGTATTTATTTTGTCCTTGCAGTACTGGGGATATTACCTGGGGACCACAGGCATGTTAAGTAAGCACCCTACCACTGAGCTACATCCCCAGTCCTGTGCACTTTTCGTTTTTTCTTTCCTACTTGATGTCTTCTAGTAGCAGCTCATCCTCCGGTCTTTCCTTTTCTTCCTTGCAGCCACATCTAACTGCAAATGTTCCCTGGGATTCTCTAAGCAGCACATATATCTATGGCCTGGTCAGAGACACTGTTGTGAACAGAGACAGTCAGATTCTACCCAAGGACACGACCTGGGCATCAGCTCTATGCCAAGATAGCAAACAAGCACTCTCCTGGCTTTCTGATCTCTCCCCAAGGTCTCTGCCTTCATATATGTAGAGGTGGCTGTCTTCTTATTTCTTGTTGCAATTATCTCAATAAATCCTTTCCTGCCAACAGCAGCAGCTACAGAAGTGGTTTTTAGATTTGCAGATATTTTTTAAACTTTCCACATGACAAACATCTATAAATACAGTAGCTTCCAGTAACTTACTAAATACATCTCTTCTGTGCCAGCTGTCTTCTTACTTCTCCAACTCAAGCAGGTTTCATTAAATACTGAAATATTACTGATGGTCTGTTTCACTGTACAAGAAAAAGAATGAGAAATAAATTTACCTTCTACACAAAAATACTAACGTTTACCTGGACCAGTTTCCAAGAATTCACATTTTCATAGGATAAATGCAGCCGTATTTTAAGTTAGAAATTAGTGGTAACAGTCTATAAGAAGTACCCCTGTTATAGTTAGGTAAATCAGCCTCATCAAAGATCTAGGATCTAATGACAATCAGAGGATCTCTTAAAAATCAAGTCTATTCACTGTAAACTTAGTTATCCTTGGTTTACTAAGCTTAAGTAATAGCTCACTGTCCTGGGCTTCAGACATCTGTACTTAAACAAATAAGCATCAGTTCAAAATCCTGAGAATTGCTCCTTGAGGACCTGAGAAGTGTTATCTCAAGTAGTCATGATTTTCATGATGAGAAGGATGCTTCTCTTGGTTTGGATATTCACATTTCTTATCATCAAAGAAGCACTATGCCGGGCTTAGTGGCATACACCTGTAATTCCAGCATGCAGGAGGCTAAAGTAAGAAGACTGTTTCATGTTCAGGGACAGACTGGGTTACATAGTGAGCTGAAGCCAGTCTGAACTACATAATGAGACACTGCCCCCCCCAAAAAAAAAGATTTATTGACCTCCATGTAGTTTCACAGTAATTGATCTACAAGTGAGCTGAGATCTAGTACAGTTTACCACACAGACACACTTCAAGTTTTTAAAACAATGAGTACTTATTCCAAACTCTGATATCAGAAGTTACTACTTCCTTTAGCAAAGATCCCCACCTCAAACTGGCAATAATACAGCAGGCTTGCTAAGAAGTTTCATTGAAATGCTGTGTGATTTACGATTAATAATTAATAAAGACAATTCCCAAAGTACCTGAAAGAATGAAATCCCCATGAGGGACAAGGCTGTCTTGCATTGTTCTGACAGGCTGCTAGGAACAGAGCCATGTTAGTGGATGTGACCCCCTCTCAGGATTGAACAGGTTTGCACAGAGAAAACCTGTTTCACAGGTCACAGCTAAACTTCAAATGTTGCGGGACAGCAGGCAAGGAAGATGATTCAGAGTAACGCAACCCCACTGCGGGGACAGAGGAGGGTTAGAAAGAGCTGCACTACTGGATCAAGGGACCCTGTATTTCGAAGCATTCAAAGCACAACTAGTATTATTTAACAGTTCCAGGTCATCAGCAGGGGAGGGGTGGGGGGGGCCCCAGTTTATTCAATATGGCCAGATAATCCAGAAAGATTGCACAACCAATCACCAAACACACTACACCAAACTCACTTGATAATATAGAGATAAAAATCTAAAAATACTAGCAAACAGAAATCAGCAGCACATCCAAAAGAACAACATTCAATTCTAA